ACCAAAACTTACAATATTATTCTAAAGAACGACAAAGAAAAGCTTAATGAATTCATCTGCTAAGGAGCAATTCATACCTCGTCAAGCAAATTGCCAGAAATCAACATGTCTTTTTATATTATTTAGTAAAACAATATAGAAGGAATTATAATTAAGATTATATAATATAAATAAGGAACAAATTTATGTAAGTAAAATCTTGTGTATATATAGTTCAAATACAAAGAAAAATTTATTAAAAATAAAGACTCCCAAATTGAAAGGGAGTTCAAGTGCTCGTTCACCTGATCTGAAATCCAATATCCTAATATATTTTTATAAAAAATTAATATGTAAAAATTCATTAATCAAAAAAACCCTCCTGAAAAAGGACTATAAAGTGGTCGAAACATAATGTGAATTGAAAAGTGTAGGAATTTAGAATGGCAAGGAACTGAAAAGTCAAATCCTAAATATTAGGAAAATAATTAAATGAGTATTTCTAAATATACGATAAATTACCAAATGACTATTTTGTCCAATGTGAACTCAATTTTAAAAGGGTAAAAAAGACGAACGATATTTCGCTAAGGGTCTTCGTGCTTTTAATATAGTATATAGATAGTTATAGATATAGATTACGGATTTTTGAAATTGAAAATAATTTGATTTCCATCTTGAAATATTTACTTTTCAATTTATTTACGTTACAACTTGTTTGGACGGTTATTACCTATTGCATTGTATCATATTGTTACTTTAAATACAATATTTTTTTTGATTGTTTCTTAAATTTTATTGTATCGTATCGTTAAATCCGTCGTTACGTAACGGCGAAAAGTGCCACTTTATGTAATGACAGATTTGGTGTGGTGGCGTCATTACCTTACTTTTTTTTATCTCATCTTGCCCTTATTATTAAATAATCATATTTTATTCTTTACCCTACTTTTTTATATAATAATTCTATTCCATATCCTATTTTTCTTAGTAATGTTGCTAATTTATTCTTCATATTATTGGTGAGTGATATCATGAAACGACGGTAAACGATACAGTCTGTCCAAACGTTGTATTCATCAAGCAATACAATACAATACGATACATTATGAAATGATACGTAACAACCATCCAAACAAGTTGAATCTAAGAATTAGAGGATCTGATTCTTTTTGATTGCATATCTAAGTGCAATGATGTGATTTCCGCGCGCGCACACACACACAAAAAAAGCAACCAAAAAAAAAAGTAGAACAAAAACAATATCATTGCAAACAAATGTTGCCCCACATGAGTTTTCCCATCAGTAAAACAGGCCATGAGCAAATTTATTCAACACATAACAATAGCTAGTCGCAAATACACAGAAGGAACCATGGAAACTTATTACAGTACATCTAGTGAAATGAAGTATAAATGCTCTGTGTCCTGTTGGATCTTCAATTATCTCCAACGTACTATTTGTATTTGTGAGAAAGTAGTTTCTCAACTCCTTCAGCTCCATACATTTAAAGTTCTGCAATTTAACTTTCTTTAACTCATGCCTCCAACATTTCCAGGGTAGAGATCAGTGTTTTAGATAGCGTGCGGCGACAAATAGCGATGAGGGCCCGCTTCACTAAGGCGAGAGGCGCGCAGCGAAGCGCTCGCCTTTTTGATGTGAAGCGACAATTTATACAAAAACATAAAATATTATATACATATAACTAAAAACTCAATAACAATAATATATTAATAAATAAATCATTCAAAGATTAAAGACTCAATAGATAGTAATAACTCATAGTAGATTTGAGAAAAAAATTCAACGCTGATTTATAGAAAAAAAATTCATTTGAGTTCAAAATGCAATTAATTCTACTCTATAAGACTATAAATCTATAATTGAAAAAGCAGAGCAACAAAGTAAATAAAGCTATTGCCTCTGCTCGAATTTGAAAAACAGAGCAACAACAACCAAAAAAAAGGCTGCAACAAAAAAAATAAAGCTACTGAACAAAAGATAAACAAAGCTGGGCTGAAAGAGAAAGAAAAAAGAAGAAAGAAGAAAAAAAAGAACTGGAGAAGGGGTCAACCAGAAGAATGAAGAAAAAGAAAAAAGAACTGGACAAGAAGGGTCGACGTCGACCAGAATAAGAAGAAAGGAGAAGAAGAAGAAGAAAAGAAGAACTGGAGAAGAAGGGGTCGACGCCGACCAGAAGAAGAAGAAAGAAACATACCTGGGTCCAGTGGCGAGCTAGAAATTTTTCTAAGGGTATTCAAATTTGAAAGAAGTGAAAAAAATTTCGGACAAAGGATGTTCAATATATGTTATATACCTCTAAAACGTAATATTTTACCTACATACACAATACAATTTTTCGGCCACCCTTGTGATCATGTGGCTTCGCCACTGCCTTGGTCGCTAATGGCTGACGAAGACGATGGCAGAAAAAGCTTGTTCAAAGAAGCTCTGTGTCAATCTCAAGCCCTAATCGCTGTTAAGTGCCTTTTTTCTTTTCTTTTTTTAAATAGCGACGCTATGCTCGCTTCTCGCCTCACTGTCGCCTCTCGCGACACAAGCAGAGGCGACCGCTATTTTCAATCGCAACGCAACATGCTCTCTGTAGCGACACACGCTCCCCTCGCATCGTTACACGCTTTTAGCGCTGTAGCGAGCGCTATTTATAACACTGGTAGAGATGCACAACAAGGTTTCTCATCTTTACCATCAGCTTCATCTTTATCTCTGTATGTAAACTACAAAACCCAGAAACAAGTGTATATGTCATGTATCCCCGTGTAGAATCTTTGTCCCTACTTTTCCATTATTATAAATTAAATCCTTGTGGTTAATACTGTTTCCTGAAGTTGATCAAGCACAAAACAACAACAATAACAATTTACTAGTGTGCCTCAATACCAAGCAAGGTGCTATCAACTATATGAATATTCACTGACCATGCCCTCCAATTAGTTCATTTTAGACCCATCATAATCATACACCTGATTGAAGCCATGTGCAGGAGAGTTTTATGGACTGGGGGCAATGAGATGACTAAGAAAGCACTATTAGTTTGGGAAAGAGTTTGATATCCTAAATCAGCCGGAGGTTTTTATGTTATTGATATTTGCATCTGGAACAAGGCAGCAGTGATTAAGCATTCCTGAAACCCGTTCAAGAAGGATAGTTTGAATTGTGCTTTGTTAATGAATTCGAGGCGTTGTAATTAATTGAATTTCTGTGTTCATGCTAGATTATCAATATATAGTAATTTCTGGAATAGACTTCTGATTCATACTGAATGATGTATTTTGATTATTCAAATCATCGTGTATTTTGATGCAATTTCATGATGTAATATTTTCTTGAAACCTTTCTGCTACTGCCAACGGTCATATTCGCGGACTTCTCAAATCTCGCTGCCGACGAGCTTCCGTCAGAAATCGGTTTGCTTCTTCTCCTAATCTTTCCTATTTATTTTTAGTCTTTTTCCTTTTCTTCCATTTCTTATTTTCTCCTTCATACTGCTTCGTGAATTAACCTAACACTTACTCTAATTGTTTTAAGAAATCTGTAATTACTCATTCTTTGATTTGGTATTTTCAAGAGTTTAGTCGTCGTTACCGGATATTGCCGAAAACCTCACCGGAGAATAATAAGCAAAATCTCCGTGCTTTTGGCTACAACAGTTTCGTAAATTCTTTGTCGTTTATCCTATGCTTTTGTTGGGTTTCAAAATATTTAAGCTTAAGTCTCAGTAACTTGTTGTACTTCCACTTAGCTAATCTATTTTGGCATTTTCCACATAAAACTATTATTCTTGGCTCTTGCTATTGTTGATCTATTTTCCAGACACCACTCAATTGAGCTACGCCCTTGGTTTTTCATCTTCTGGGTTTAAATTTGCTGAAAAGCTTTGCTCAATTAGATCTCGTTTTCAAGTGACTTGTGGAGCTCGCTGATCTAGGTCCATCATTTCCTTCTCATGCTTGGTCTTCACGGTAAAAGCCAGATCTGACCATTATTGGTCCGAAGAATACTAACTCATTCTCTATTAGTTACTTTCGGGGCTACACCAGTAGTAGCGGTGACGACCCTTTTTGGTTTTTGGGTTGTGGTATTTTTCTGTGTTTTCAAAGAAATTCTCGAAGTTGTTGGAGACAAGTTGGGCACACGAGCACTAGCAAAGGAGAGCAACCTGGATGAGCGTCAGCAAAGGGCGGTGGGAAGCGGTGCGTGAGCTTGCAAGTATATCGAGTACTGCAAATCAACACAGGTTTGGTTCTCGGGAATTGGTACCTCCCGTTCTATTGTTTCCCTTTTGGTGTTAGCTAAATTGATGTTACTTTAGTTCACAATAGTTAAATCATTCAACTAGTGTACTGGTAGTCACTTATTTCCTTCTAGTTTGATTCGTTGTCCATTGTGCTCTAGCGAGTCTTCTTTAGATTTGTCATAGGTGTAGTGGCTGCAGTCTGGGATGATAGATTAAAGGCATGTACTCGGGTGGGGTAGAGTGCGGGG